TCCCTTCTTATGAATGGCAAGTACTGAGGCACACTCCAGTTTCCAGGGATTGCCTCCAATGATGAGCAAGTGTAGATCTTAGAAAAAAACAGTAAGAATAATGTGCACATATTTCCCTTCTCACAACTGGTTCCTAGACTTCTGTCTTCCCCTGTCAACCAGTGACCATTTGCCAACCAAGTCTAACTTCCCCCTTCAGCTTCCCAAAACCTGTCTCCTACTGTCATCAGTCGCAATCTAGGTAAAAAAGGGATTTTTGACAAATATTTGTATCTTTTCCTAGCCATAAGGCAGCACCTTGAGTCCAAGCTTTCTAATTCCTTGAGTGTAGCCAGCTAAAGAAGCATGGTGCTCCACAGCAGACTAACCTATCCATCAGAAAAGCCATTTATGACTCAGTGTGGACATATCCAACATACTGGCAGATATAACAGTAGCTGTGGTACTAGCATCTTTCCTATGTTTATCACACTATTTCTTTTACTTGCTTCTGTGCAAACTCTACACTTTACGCACTTGATAGATGTTTCAGAAGATCTTATCTTCCAGGCCACAGACAGAATCTCCTCAGTGACCTCTTTTGCCAGACACCAGTAGCCAGAACAGCTATTAAATGAAAGATTTCTACAATAGCATCCCATGTAAGTATGGAAGTAGATTTCAACAGAGAACATTACAGCATTTCAGTGCTCACTGATGAGGAAGTAATAGCAATGTCACACTTTGCATCTGGAAATAAAAATTTCAAACTTTTATCAGGAGTAGAAGCTTAATTAAATGCAGGAAAGCGTTTATTAATTTCACTATTTAATCAGGTGCCCTTCTTCAAATAAATACATATTCCCCTCTTCTCAAATCTTTATTCCAAAGATTTTAAGTCTCTTTTAAGTCTGCTTTTAAGTCTCTTCTCAAAACCATGAAAAGATTCCTAAACTACCTCCGAGTAACATTAGCAAACTTGAGGTCCTGCGCCTGAATCAGGCTGCAGGCTCCTAGCAGGCAGGGACCACATTTCATCTGTTTCTAGAAGTACCAACCACATTGCCTGGATTAGATAAATAACAATACAATTCAAATAAACTAAGGATGTATCCTAATGGGAAGATGAAATGAAGACTAACCACCCAAAAGAGGTGGGATGTTATCTGGATAATCGCAGAGAAGGAAATGATTAAACAGTGGGTCTCACAATGCATGTCACCCTTAAGCTGAAGCTAGAAAGCATGTAGGCTAAAAGCACCAGATGTGTCTTTCAAATTACTGTGGAAGCATTAAGGTCATAATGCAGCAAAGGGAAATTCCACGTTCATAAACTTTATACTGACTTAAAACAGATAAAGAAGCAAGTTATTACTCTTGAAAGAATTTTGACCAAAAAGCTGTTTATGTAGAAGAAAAGGATATTTGTTTATATACTTATTTTAATCTCGTAGATATACTCACAAATTGGCAAATGGTATTTGAAGTATTAAGCAGTGCAATTGTTCCAAAACTCCTTTCACCTCACAAAACATTTATCACCTGCCACTGAAACACACACAAATCTCATTTTCTAGTTTGTTGCTTTCCTGCTACAAATATTTTGACCAAAAAAACCCTCATTTTGAATGGCAGCCCACTCATTGGTGTCATTCCAGGACATATATATCACCCATTTTTCATCCTAATGCAGATTCTTCAGTGATCCCAGTTTTATAATCATCTACCATTCTTTGACTTTTTTCACAATGATCCATTTAGACCTTCTGACAACAAAAACAATAGCAGTGCATGTAAAAAAAATTACTGCTGTTCTTTGCTGTCATGAACAAATATAATAAAACCTGTAAAAGCGAATCAAGTATGCACTTAGTAACTAGTACAATGATGGCAGAGAGAGGCATGCAAATCTATACTAACATTGCAAGTAGAAGCTATAAGTTCGCATGTCATTTCCAGTAGCTGTTTATATTTTGCATATTCATGGAGCATTTGAAAAAATAAAAATGATTCTTTTCGTAACCTACAACACAGAACATACAATTATCATGTCAACAATATATCTCTTGTATCCATAAAGTCTTAAGTATTTTCACCGAGAAACAGAGGTATCACATCTCACCTGTCCTAAGCCAAGATAGCTTGGTATAAATAGTGCAGAATTTAAAAGCACTATAGAATAAAGATACCAGTGTCTGACAAAGCCATTATTTCACTGAGAGGTATGATACTTTTCTCAGAAAGGCAATAAAAAGTAAATTCCACCCTGCCTTGTACATAAAGAACAGTTAAAATGAAAAATTTGTTGTGTGACATCCCATGTTGTTAACAATATAGGCAGATCAAGATAAGTGGCTGGACTTGGATCATCATCAGAAGACACAAGGCCATATTTGCTAGTCTATTATGTCATGCTTCTTGAATTCACGAACCCAAGAGTGCAATAACTTTTTGTGACATGATGGAGAAGTTACATTTTATACAAACACACATGCAAGATAAATGAATTAAAACAAGCAGCCATATTGTTTCTTTAAACTGCTGTTGAGTAACATTATATTTGGATAATTCCAAAATCTAAAGCATAGAAGCAGCTCAGAAAATAGTACCAAGTAATGGAAAGCAAACTGCAATTGCCAGATGATTTACATCAAATCAGTCCGCGCCTGTGTACACCAAAACAGTAAGAGAATAAGAAAATAACGTTTAAGAGATTTTTGGAAAAGTGAAAAGGGATCACAGCACCAAGATCGCATACACTTTAACAGTGACAATGACCTACAATTGACAGTTCACTCTGAATGCTGTTCCCTTCTAAAAACACCCCAGACACTTGGAAGGGCCACAGCATTTTAGCAGCAATGCTTGTTCATATTTCCTTTCAATCATTCCCATTCAAAACATAGATAGACTTAAAAAAAAGAAATTGTTCAAAGGAGAATTTTAAGAGTAAATGGTAAGGTTGTTAGAAAATTCTATAGTTTTATGCCAAACTTTTCACCTGTTTCTGTGACATATCATATATATCAGTTACTCTGATGTAATTTCATTTAACTCCAATCCTAAAAATGTATATACTTTTGCACTTTAAAACCTATGCTTTAACAATATGCTAATTATACAGTTCAGATGATCTGGAAAGAAATCCATTTGCACTGATGATATAAGGGAGTGACAGTACAATTTACATTAAGAAATGTTTTCTCATTTTTCTCAAAAATTGGTTTGCACTCATCCGGAGAAATCTAAATTCATCCAAAGGCTTCCCTCCCTACTTCTCCATGGTTACTAAATAACATGACAATCTGAATGACGAACAAGAAGCACATAAGAAGGGGTTACAAAAACTCCTCTGGACACAGGTAGACAGGCAGCCAACATTTTCTTTTGTAATCTGATTAAATAGACTGTTATTATATAGCAAACATCAAAATGCTAGTAGCACACAATTCTCTGCGTGAGATTATTCCTAACATTTTGAATTAGTTATTCCAAATTCTCTACACTAGCCCAAGGGGTAGTTGGCCAGTCTACCCTACTTACTCTGAGGGAAAACTGCTGGATATGGAGATATATATTGTAAATTTTCCCCTTTTATTTTTGGCTTCCTTCACATACCTAGATTTACTACAATTTTTGCAATAATATATCACAGCATGTTTTTAACACACATATCACTACCACATTAATACCAACCTTCATAGAACAGTCAGAGCTGAAGGAAGAGTGCTCAGTTCATCGTGACTCCTTTCAATGTTCAAAGGACACTGCTGCACTCCCTGGGAGATGGCCCAAGGAGAATTCTTCTTCTGAGCACTTTACTATTCCTAAGCAACAAGCACCTAAGCACTTAAACTTTGAGGACTAAAAAATCTTTTGTTATATCCATCTGGTTCATAGCTATCTTGCTATACACTTTATTTTAAAAAGCATATCCATAAATTACCCTCAGAATTGAAACTGGTATGTTTTGTTACTTTGTGAAGTCATGGAGAAACAAAGAAAATGAGTTACCTGACTTTTGGAGAGCACATCTACACCATTGTATGAATGAGGTTACTGTGTTTGATGTAATATTAAACCTGTATTAACCTGCATTAATATTATTATATTAATATTAAACCATAGCAGAGATAAACAATGTGTCTGCTAATGATGTGCCAAAGATAAGAGGACTAGTATCTTCCTAGACATCTCATGACCTAAAAACGTGTGGCATCAAGAACTGGAGATCAAGAACTTCTCAAGATAACTGCAAATAGTGGACAAAAAGATGAAAAGAGATCTTAAAAGAGGATGGGTAGTTCAAGTAAATGACTATAACGCCAACAACTTGCAATTTTATTATCACAAGATTTTTATTTAAATAATTGAAAGTCAAACAACTAAATATTTCCATCACACACGACTTGAATTTTGAAAAGAATATTTTGACTATGAGAACATCACCTTCAGATAACCTTTTAACAGTTTCTACTTGTACTAGATATTTCTCACAGGGAGGAATAGAGACCAAATTAAAATTAGTATTATTGGGAGATTTACAAAAAGTGTGAAGACAAAAGCATGGATGTTTGAGTTTAAAAAAAAGTCTGCGTAATTCCACAAAATAAAGATGAGGTTAATCTGAAACCTATTAAAATTAATATCAAGATTCTAACTGACCCTAGTATTATTGGGAGATTTACAAAAAATGTGAAGACAAAAGCGTGGATGTTTGAGTTTAAAAAAAGTCTGCATAATTCCACAAAATAAAGACGAGGTTAATCTGAAACCTATGAAAATTAATATCAAGATTCTAACTGACCCCAGCAGGTTTTGGATTAGGCCCTGTATGCTCAACGTGGTGATTCAATGCAGTTTTGTAGTACTCTTATAGAATGTTCACCCAATTTTCATTTAACCTTCCCTCAGTAGTTTGCTTATTTATTTATTTATTTCCACTGAAACTGATGTATCTTGAATGAATCTATGCAGTTACTCCCTTCTTTCCACAAACATGTTTTCAAATGACTTGTATATGCAAAAGTAAATTTTAACAGTCAATGTGCTCTTCCAAAAACAACAAATAAGAGATTTTCACCAAATTCTGTTATGATTTTCTCTGGAATACGTTAGGATGATGATTGTGGAGTCTGCAAAGAAAAACATAGAAGAAATCAGTGGTAATTTCCAACACATACATAACATTAACTCATAGGGAATCACAGAATCACCGAATGGTAAAGGTTGGAAGGGACCCCTAGAGATAATGAACACCACTCACACAAGGAAATAGCCTCAGCTTAACAGTGAGATGGACGAGGTGGAGGATATTAATAGGGCACTTTAAAGATCAGCTGAAAGGTTTGTTATAAAACTGAATGTATTCTGAAAGATTTACATTCTGAAAATTATATTTTGCTTTTCAAATCACTGGAATGGCTTCACAATTCCAGAACATTTGCCCAAATAATTAAGGATTCTGTTGCAGCTGTGTTATCCGCATTTTCTGGAGGAAAGTGTTTGTGTTCTAGGCACAGAAAAGAAGGTTTTTTTTTTTTTTTTTTCCAGTAGTTTGGGATGCCAACAGCTTGACAGCTACTGACAGCTTAACAGCTCTTTGATTCCCACTCCATTCCACTGAATCTGAAAGCTATCCTCCAGAAACAGCAAATTTGATCAGTATTTCAGCCTAAACACTTCACTGTTTCAGGCTTCATAGGCAGAAAAATAGTATGATAAATTAGACTCAGTATATCATGTCTCTGTTCACTTTCCTGGCACTATCTGCTTGAAGCTAAGAGAAGTCATATTCTGCCAGATGCTGTATCAGAGTCGTTTTAGTGATACAAAAGCTTGCAGGGTGAATAAGCTGAGGAAAACTCTTCAAGATGTTCTTGTCCCTTTGGTTCACCTACTTGTTTGGTTGTTTGTTTTGTTTTACAGAAGAGATTCTTAAAATGTTTACTGAAGTTGAAAAGATAATAATTCTAGAAAAAGTAGCAACAAAAATCCGTACTTATAAGGGAGAACAAAGATAGAGACAATGCAGAAAACGCATAAATATTTAGTGCTTCTATTACAGTTACAGTTTTGTGATTAGGGCACTGTGGTTCAAACATACCTGACAATCTTCAGCCCCTCTTTATGCCAGCTTGACTTTTCTTTTGCACTGAGCCTGTGAAATAGAGCAAGGAAAGTAAAATCAATTCCTATATATAAAAAAGACATTACCTGTATTCAACACCACAATGCTGACACTGTACATATACATATATGCAAATGATTACCTGATTCATCTTGTCCAGTTCCAGAAAAGCAGGCTGTTGTGAGTTTTCTACCTAATACCTCTCATTTTGGCATTTCTGCTGCATTACTGGCAGCCCCAGATAGGAAGGTATCTGATGTGCAGGACTCCATCAAGTGAAATTCCAATTTGGCCTTTTTATCTCATGAGTGTTGGACTCTGCACAAGTAATAATACAAAATATCTCTCACCTGCAAATGATTTACAATAACATAATCAATGATGTATTTCCTATGATCCACTTTATTGTGCAACATTCAACGTCTGGAAATATTTTGCATGAAAAAGATGTCAATAAATCCCAGTCATTGTTTTTTATATTACTGCTTCCGTTCCTTTTCCATATGTTTACAGTCATAACAATTATACCCAAGAAAGACCATACAGGAATTCATTTATACTGCTCACTTACCAAAAGGCATTGCTAACAGAACATTTCCTTGGGTTCTGCCCGAGGGCCCTAGGGTTTAAATTGCTGTGTTGGCTTTCGCTTACCTATAAAGAAGAGTTGCTACCAATTATTTTATCTCATGCACCCTGCACACCTCCTGTGCACAGTGACATTTTTGAGGCTTTAAATATCTTTGCTAAAGGCACTACATGCAGATATGTGATGTGTTTGGTGCTTGTAACTTGTAAAAGGGAAAACACACTGGCTAAAAAATCAAGCTGGTCGAAAATCTAAGCTGAATCAAATCACTGTGAATATCATGATATAAAACACATTACTGGAGAGTTATCAAGGGTTAGACAATGTATGGAAATTGCAGTCCCACAATAGCATGTTCCTATTTCCAAACCCTTAAATTTATAACATATTTTTTAACACTGCAAGTGATTTTTTCCTCCTGTGCTGCACATTATTAATCAGAGAACATGATTACACTGTAAGTCAGAGACCAATATACTCGCTTCCAGAAAGGGGGATGAAGAAGAGGCTTATATGGGTTGACCCCACCTCAGCTCCACATCCCCATCATATTTCATATGATATTCATATCACATGAAATGAAGTGCAGAGGGAAGAAAGAAGCTACTTACTGAGGGTCCCAAGAACTTTTCTCCTCTCTCTTGGGAGCGGGTGTGTTTGCATGCACATGTATATACATCCTGGTGGATAGACACTAAGCAGGAATTTGCAATTTTGCAATTTTGGCAACATGCAACTTGTAGCACAACAATTTTGAAAAACTGTAAAGGGCACCAGGTATTCTCAGCACTGTGTCTAATTTTAACCTATACGGAATTTTCATGCCAACGCAGTTAGACTTGATGAGTTGGAAGAATAAGATTGTGTAGAACACTTCTTCAAGTATTTTATCAAAATTTAAACATATTTTTAATATTTACTCATTAATTTTATAGCTCTAGCATGAAAAACACCCCATATTTTTGCCTGGAAGATCATCTTCCTTCATGATTTCAGCACAAAAGTACCCACAGTGCAGTCTCCAGCCACTGTGCACTTTTTGCAGATCATGGGAAAAATCATGTAAGCTGTAAGAAAAAATATTTTTGCAAAAGATATGAATCTGATGCCTTGCTATGATGATCAAGACATTTGTTTTGTACAAAGCCAGTATAGAAAATGAGGTTCCAGAAGCAGAAGTTTTCCACTCTCAGGGCACTTCTGTAGTCTCTGGTATTCTTGGGTCCATCAACTGCTATAGTGGCAAACAAAAATAGTTAATCTGCCAGTCCCAAACAATAAAGTGAAATCTATGTTTAAATTGCCACTTTGTGTTGAACAGTCAGGAAAATGAAGAAATTACATATTTTCTGCAGCGCACAGCGTTAAATTGGTAGCCATCCTTCACAGATACCCTGGTAAGAATGCCCTGCAGATTATTCCTTTTTTTGGATCTTAAGTACTTAACTAATACATACATGCAATGTAACAGTACACGGATCAGTCTACATTTTGGTGTATCGAGGCATATCTGTTCATGAAAAGGACCTACCTCTTTCCTCTTGGTGACACCTGCTTTCTCCTCTCATTCAGCTATGCATTTGGCAGGCTAATCCAAAGCTATTCTGATATCCTGTCTATTCTATTACAAGTTTTGGGTTCTCTGCCAAATCCTTGAACCATGTTTAATGCTATTGATTTGTCACAAGCATCATAGTTTACTTAGATTTAGTCCCTGTTGCAAATTTGGCATCTGGAACCAAAGATCACTTGTGTAGCTGTTGTACAATCAGGCAACACCACACAGCAAGACTATGTGGTTGCTATATCTACCACAGCATTTTATTCTGATCTAAATATTTTTGAATTTTGTAACTTAAGTCTTTATTAAGTGTGATAAAGCTCATGTTTTCAATAGTCCAAAATGTGATTGTTTGAGATTCTCCCATTCCCCTCCACCCTACATCGTCTGGAGAGGGCAATCAAATATTGCAACTGTAGAAGTTAAGAAACTTTGTCTAATTTGCAAGAAGTATAAACTCACTTCAAGATTTTTTGTGTGATTTTCAAATGAAAAATGATTTGGACATTTTTGTGTCTTATCTTAGAGTTGTGAGTAGATTTGGTAGACCTATGGCAGGTTTCTTTTCCTCACTGTAAATTTTGCATCTACACAAAATTTCTACCTGATGTCATCATGCAATTACAGATTGATATTTGAATGTAATCCTAGTTCTGTGAAACAAAGGATATTTGTGCAAAGCAATGGGAGGTTTCTTAGGTATGCCAACAATTTTCGTTGATCTTTCCAACTCAAATAAAAACTCAATTACTGTGTAATCTTACAGTTTCAACTAATAAGAATGTAAGAGTAATTTTAGACCCATAAGCATTTTTTTGAGTTGTACTGTTAATTAATAAAAGAAGTGCAGTTTGCATAAAAATAGCCTTTATAATTCTTCCAATGCAACACATGGTTGTTCTTTCTCTTGAAAAATATGGAAACGTTGTCTAATTCTTCAAAAACAGTCCATCCATAAGCTTATGTTTTATAAAAATATGATTAAATGCAATAGACCTTCCAAAAGATTATTATGTGAACATGAAAGAGAAGTATGTAATACCAAATGAACTCTCACTTATCCGCAGTTTCACCCCAACATCCTATATGTCATAAAATATTCTTATCCCTGTATTACTCCAGTTTTAACTTCTTCCAAAGGACAATTCAGTGAGTAACAAACTCTTTTCTAAAATATGAAAAAGTCACAATTGGTGGAAATAGAATATTTGCATGTCAGGCACAGAATACAATAACATATACATCCAGATTTTATCCACACCGTCATTTAGCTTTGGGACAGTTTCACCTAATTAGAGCAGGGTGATTTTTTATACATATATATTTATACTTATTATTATAAATCTATTACTGAATAGACATATTCAAGTCCCTCAGGGAATGTCACATATTCCCTAGATGTCTCTGGAGATTAATTTTGAGGTCATTATAACTCTGAGCAGGATCCATTATAAGGAATCAATCATATTATTAGCATTACAACGGTCCTTCAATATTCACCCTGTTGGAAGAAACAAAACAATTTTGTGCCTGCAGTTCAGACTGTAGCTACCCTCCCCTCCTGCATTGTGATTTTATCTCAACTGTGTTTCCATCTTGACACTTACCTATTCATTTCAGCAATTATATTTGTATGCGTTAATATTTTATTTCTTTATAATGACATGCTAAAATTTTACAATTTTCATTTCGAATTTAAGAGAAACTCAGGATGTAAGCAAGAAAAGCATGGTTGAACTAGTTTACAAAGTTAAGAGTTTCCTTAGATTTTTCCTTAGAATGCTAAGATTTTTCAATACACTTTCATATGATTAGAGTAAAAAACTAAGTTTTAAAAAGCAAATGGACATATACTGTGAACATTCGATTTGATGACTTGTGTCATTTCAGTTATGCAGACAGGAAAATCCCTTGTGGTTACAGTTTTCTGTAAGTAGTTGTATCTTTGTTTCGCACGATCTCGTACCGTATGGAGCGGTACGTGGGTAGCCTGCATCACACAAAGCCGTAAGTTATTCCAAACACACCGGTGTCACTTCCCATTTACATCAGTCTGCCTTTGAACAGGCATATAGGAATCAGGCCCCCAGCAGAATGACTGTATTTGCCCAGACATTCCCATCTGAGGGAACTGTAACCTTGGAAATTATAAAGATGTGTTTTGGGAACCATCCTTTGGGGACATGGCAAACACGAATTTACACTCATGTGGTCTACAGAGAAGAATGTACACATCTATGCTTTCCTGAACATGTTATGGAATGACATCTGCTTGTGAGAACGAAATTGGCCCCCTTTATATCAAACAGGAATCTGTACTTACTGGAAATAAGTCAGCATTCGAGAAAGAAGCCCAACTGTTTTTCAATGTTTTGGTCTTCGGCCATTAGTAGTTGGCTTTATATATGTTTTTCTTCATTAAAATAGAACATCGTCAATAAAGAATGTAGTCAGTATAAAAAGATATGTCAAATGAAAATGGCATACTGTTGTTGGTCAAGGCAGAGTGACAGTCTACATGCACAGTATAGCAGTTACTAGCTAATAAATACACTCCTTAAAAGTATATTTATTTCATTGAAGCAACAGTGATTTTAGCAACCTTGGTGATTCTCCTAAAATATGAATAGGGAGAAAAGAATGAATAAAAAAGACACCTTTTGATGAGAGATTATGTAGTCTTTACAATCGAGTAAATTTAGTTGCTGTTGCAGCAAAGGAATGTGATAGGAAATTTTACAGTTGAAGGAGAAATGTCACAGTATTTTGATAAGACAGCGATGAACTTTTTTTCCCTTGTGCCATTATCAAGGCGAAGTGAACAAAATACATCATTTATAACCCACTGCTCTACCATTATCTCCTGGTGAGACACTTGTTTTAAAACACACAAGGACCTTTTTTTCCTCTAAGACTAAAGCTCTCTGTGAGGCTCAGTCTTCCTTTATAACCATGAAAGAAAGTTGACACTTGTGTGGGCCAAAGTTTCCAGGCAACCACACAAGGGCACTTATACACCCTCCAGGTCACCTCTAGTTCTGAAGTACAGAGGAAGCGTATGAACAGTCTATGTCCCTTTGATCACAGATACCATCTCAAACTGATGTGGAGAGAAAATCCTGCACTTTGGAAGAAAGGCACTACAGTCTGCTTAAAGCCTTTTCTTACTTAATGTATCCAGAAAGGAAAGGTTAGCGCAAAACTGAGAAAATATTTTTTTTTCTTGATAGCCACAAA